GGCAAAACTGCCAGTTGTGCCACTGGACGCTGTTTAGGACTTTCTGACAAACTCGGACCTCTTGAGGAACACGGGGGACAGGAAACAGCCGAAACGTTATTGTTCGTGGTTTGGGATGGTGGGGTAGAGAGACCAACTTTGGTGCCCAGGGTGCACCATATATACCATATATCACCCATATGGGGAGGTGGAGATGCAAATGCTGGAGAAACATGGGAGAAATTGCCAGAGGCATCATATGTAGGCCATATCCCAAGGTCCCAAACTCCACGTTGAAAAGCTGGCGGCATGATTGTAACTCCTTCCTTCAAGGGACTGGGGTTGGTACAGCCTGCTTTTAGATGTGGTTTGGGGATCCTGTAGGACACATCATAACTGTTCATTGCTGCTCAGATAAGCATTTGAGACGACCAGTCTTCACAGAGGGAAGGTTGGCTTTCTACTTCTATCAGATGGAAGAAATACACTGCAAATTGCCCACTGCACATCAAGCGTCATTATCCCACACTGTTTGACACAAAACTTTTCCTGCAGCCTTGGCAAAAAAGCACGATATTTTTCATTGATCTATGTACAATTATAGATATCTGGTATGTTATGTATCTACTGCATGTGCTTATAAGACAATTTGAAACAACCTTAAAGGTGGAATTCATCTGCTGTAACCAAGGCATCTCACAGCTGGATGACTAAAACTGAACTAGTCACTCCTGGCTCCCCTTGTTATTAATAGAGATAAATAGATACTGTCAAAAGGCAATTCCACCTCATCCTATCATCAGCAAGCAAACAGCCCTTCGGGCAGTACCTATTTGTGGTTTCCACTGACAATAAGAGGACCCTAGCTGGGACTGAGATCTCTGACTTCAGGAAGGATGCATAAATCCCACAAGTGCCTGCAGAACTGTTGATCAATATTGCTGAGATCCAGAGAAACACGGTAGCTTTCCTCTTTCTCCACTAGATATGAAGTAGTGGCAAAGGACACCGGAGAGGTGCAGCCAGTCACTCCAAAGGTGATGGGGACAGGGATCATGGTGGCCACAGTATCTTCCAGGAGAAAGAGACTCTACCTTCCAAAGTCTAAAGGCAGAAAAAAACCCCATGTTTACTCTTTTATTTATGATTGTCTCATAGGATTGAGTTGTCTTTTTGTCTGTCTGCCCTGACGTTACTCTCTCCCATCGCCTTTTCAACCAGCTGCCCAATTTCAACCAGTTTTAACAACAAGGCAGAGGTCTTCGAGAAAACTACGTTTCCAGACAATTTCTTGGACATGTAAGGAGCTGTGGTGCTTAGGCACGAGTGTTGCATCCTATTGCTGTCCTGCAGAAGGAAACTGAAGCACCCACAGTTTGGCAGTCTCAGGAGGTGAGGAGCCACAGCCAGCTGGGTGATGAGCACGTGCTTGCTAACTAGTGAGGGCATGCTGCCCCTTGCTCAGACAGAGGTCTGGGAGGGGGTTTAAAAGCGGTTGATAATTTTGTGGGAGGGAGCAAAGGGCAAGGTGCAACATCACACATCATCAAGAGATGCAGGGGTCAGGGAGCTGAAGGTAACGTAGAGACAAAACCTGAGTGGGTAACCATGAGGGACATAGGCTTAAAAATGTGTAGGAATCCAGATTTCTTCATTTGTCCTATACAAACTGTTCATCACGGGTCTGTGGTGAGTGGAGAGAAGCCCAAGTGTCACTAATGGCAGGCAGCAACTTTCATCAGGAGGGCAGAGCAGTGACTTCGTGCACTCGTATCACTCATGCTAACCTTCCCCTGCCTGACTGCTACCTGTCCCTCTCCCACAGACACGTTCAAGCCACTGTTCATCCCAGATCTCTCCTTGGTGTATTGTTTTCCTTGTCAGGCTCTTCAGCTTGTCTTTTCTAAGCACCGATGGAGAGGTGAAATCCTGCTTTTTGAGGAAGCAACATGGTGCATGATGATGCCAACGGGGCAAATGATTCGGTCCCACTGAATGGCAGTTAATGGTAGAACAATGTTTTTCTGAGGACAAACATGAGCCTTGTAGGTCATACAGTGGTGGAATAATGAAATCTGCAAATTGAGGTTGCAGGTCTGCAATGCATTTTATGGGGATGGAACCAGGAAGGTTGGTAGAACTCCTTGCAGAGGTGGATCTTCATCTCTTCAAAATTACAGCCTGAGTCCTTGAGGGAGGGATTTATCTCACCTAGTTTTATCTATTTAAAAAAAATAGATACTTAGTCCAACTGGGTCAGCAGAATATCTTTGGTTGTTCACAGAGAGAAAAACTGTTATTGATGCCAACCTGAAACTGGCCTGGACTGTAAGTAATTTGGGACGGAAACTCTCCATCTGCTGCTGGGAGAGCCTGAACTTAGTTTTCAGGCAACTATCGTTAAGTGACATAAACTCCCTCCGAAAGGAACTCGGATCAGAATTGACGGGAGCAGGATATTTCAGATAATCTGGAAATCTTATCTAATATCTAGGGTCATCTCAGATGTCTAATCATCTTTGAAAACCGAGCTCTGGGCTCCTGTGCTTTCCGCTTTTATTTGTTTCTTTAAAATGACTGGTTTTATGGGTGGGATTAAGTCACAGTGGTTGAGAGAGGCTGAAGATTTATGAACAGCTATGAAAAAGTTATGGGCCGTAGTGTTCTTGAGGTGGGGGGAGGCTACGTTTGACGCTTCTACTTTTGTGCTCGTGATCATGTGTAAGTTCTTTCAGAAGGCCACAAATGAGAGCATCAGTTTATAAGTCACCAGCCTGTGAGGTCAATTAACTGCTGATTAACTTCCACTTACTGCCAAACATGGTCTTGAAGCTGAAGATAAAAAATTGAAAGTCACTTTTAATTTTTTGAAAAATTTTTAGTCCAATATCTGCAGATTTTCCTGTATTAGGAATTTGTAGCTGTGGTAGCAAACCACTGAGCACTACTTCTCAAAAATACCGCTGTTTGAGGTATTATTGATAGTTGTGGAGCGTTAAAGTATGCTTAGCACCCAACAAACATTTAATACAGACATTGTCACCTGTAGATGATGCAAAGATAAGAAACCTAAGCTGCACCAGTAAAAAACATATGCATCATTTTCAGTGAAGACCGTGAGTAGGATATCTACTGTCTCCTGGAGGATTTAATCCAGAAACTGCTTAGCCAGGCCTTGCCCATGGCAGGTCCTTAGTGCAAGCAACTGGAATACATGAGCCACTTTCTCGCCCATGGAAAAAGAGAGACAACCCGGCAGCATAATGACCAAAGGGCCAACAGCCTGAATTTTAAAAGGTGTTGGCTAAATTAAAAAAGATTGCTATGTGTAGTTTATCCGTTTAAGGTAAGCGTAGTGCCAGAGCATCAGTGACATTTCAGCCTGCAGTTACAACGAGGCAAAGGTGCTGGTGAGCTCTGCCATCATCCACCTTGGGTGCCCGCGGTGGCATCTGCGAGGGAGGCAGAGAGCCGATACACATATGGTCAGGGAGAGAGACCCGGGCTTGACTTAAGAGGCAAAACAATATAAACACTGAATATGAGGGAAAAAATGTGCAGCAAAACTCACATCCTGAGAATCTCGGTCCTAAGTGGATCATTTGTTTATCCCACCAGCCAAACCTGGCTCGGCAGCAAAGCAAGCCAAAGAATGTCTCCTTTATTGTTTCCATGATGCTTACTCATCTACAAGCCATTCCCCTTTTAGATTATTCTATTTTTAAGGCATAATTTCCATCTGTTCTTTGATCTTATACCACATAAGACATTTAGCTAATAACATCATCCATCAAATACCAACTTTCCTTTAGAGTTCAAACACAATCGACACAGGACCCCGTCCATCTGCTGGCCAGTGCCTCTGAACAGACCCAGCTTGTGAATGACCAGCTATGTTGCCTATTTTTTAATTAACCAGCTAAGGTCTGTGCTTTCTGTAATGCCGCAGGATGACTACGGGGCACTCCAAAGGGAAGTGAAACGCACTCCGCTGCGGAAGAAGAGAAGAGGGGTTGGTGCATCCAGACCTGCGACGTGCTTCTTGTAAGCGGGGTCTTCCCATGGATGGAGTCTGCCTTCAGCCCCTCAGGGAATTCATTTTTTTGCATAAAACCACAATATGTATATAAAAGGTTTGAAAGATAACCATGTTCAAACTTGGCGTTCTTCAGAGGAAGGTGGGTAAAGCAACGAGATACTTTGCTTCTGTGAGCAAACTTCTGAGTTTATTTGAGAGGAACTTCAGGATTTCAGGGCAGGTTATCTGAGGCACTGGAATTGCAGATTTGCAGACAAGTATTTGTATAGAAAATGCTTGTCTGCTTACCCGACTGGAGAGCCAGGGAATGTCAGATGATTTAGGTGAGCAATTGTAGTGAAGCAGCACAGCTTGAATTAAGGATATCTGAGATCAATCACAGTTAAAAAATTCTAAGAAAAACCTTTCAGGAAAAAAAGGAGATTAATGAATAATCCAGGGAAAAGGTAGTTTTCTTATGGATATTTTCCAAGTGCAAACAGATACCGAATTTTTTAAATCGTTACTTTCAGATTCTTCACTTAGCTCTGTTACCTTGCTTCTCAGTGGTTTGCTTTCTCTTGCACACAGTGCATTTGTTTAGGAAGGAATTTGATTCAGGATTTATATTCCACTGGCTTACATATGCCACAGCGTACGTATCGCCAGATCCGAAACAATAACAACAACAAAACCCAGCGCCTACATTTCCTTCTATTTCCTGGCTTGCCAATAATAATAAGTCCCTGCAGAGGGGAGCTTGGCTGGTGGTGTTTTGTGATTTCTCAGATAACAAGAGCTTCACATTTCTGTGGAATTCCCATTTGCCAGCGAGCTGCTGCTGCCGCTGCCCTGATTGATATACGACTGCAATGGCACTTTTCCATTTGACATTCCCTCTCTCTCCCTCTCCCTCTCCCTCTCTCTCTTAAACAACAGCCCTAACTTTTGTGTGTTGCAAATATAAAAGGCAAGCCATGTGACAGAGGGACGGAAGAACAAAAGCATTTGGAAGTAACAGGACCTCTTTTTAGCTCTCTGAAGAGTTTGAGGGGAGGAAGGAGCGGTGCATTTTCCAAAGGTAAGCACACAAATAAGAGATTCTTCCAGATTTTGAGTATTACATGGACTTAAACTGAGTGCTTAATCTCTTTATCTGACAAACATATGTTCTCCTTGTACCATTTTTTAAATTAAAATGTGTTGATGTGGAATCAACACAGCTCTAGTACCTGCATCTCCCGCTTATCCTTGTATCATTACCTGTATCTCCTGTCTAAAGGATGCCTGTACGGAGTCCAGTGTGCTTCCGAGAAACTTGGTTATACATCTCTTCTTGCGAGCATGCTGGGCTCATGTCGGCAGCTCCGCGCTGGTCCTAGCCGTACGGCGTTGGAGTGAATGGACGCGCTGGACTCTGCCCTGAATTCATCCGGAGAGCGCTGGTATCGCCGGCACCCTCTTTGTCCCATTACAATAGGGCTCTATGAACATAGACAAGCCCGCTAGTTTAAAGCTGGACTGTTTACTTTTATCACTACTTATGCATGCCGTTCTCTTGCCAGTCATCTGCCGGAGTGCTTAGAATAATTTGAAACAACAGGCAATATTTATTTCTAGCTTTGTGTGTCATGCTTCGCAGGAGCACTCTTAATTTGCACATTATTATTTATCCAAACTTCTGGAAAGCTTTCCTATGGACCGGACAGCACTGGTTATGGATTAGGACAGATTTAACATACACTCTTGATTGGCTGAAACCTATGAGGAAAGCCACAGAGTTTGCCGTTGCTGTAACGCCGAGGGGTATATTTAGTAGGTAGCCGCTGCCGTCGGCGCGACACGTAATGCAGCGTGGCTGTGCGGTCGGTGGCTGACACGGGAGGATGCTGCAGGACCCCAGACCGCCTGCTGAAGGAGAGAGGGAGGCTCTCCTTCTTTGCCGGCAGCTCAGTTTGCTGTGTATCAGCGTCAGAGGCACGAGTGTAACTGTTCTCTGTGTCTTTGGGACAAAAGAAGAGTTTTACTGTTCCCAGCCCGGCGATAAAGTGTCGGTGTAGTGTAACTGCGAGGCGCAGGAACAGACACTGCCCTGAGAAAGACTGGCTGAGGAAGAAAGCCCCGTCCCCCCTGCAAGGATTCAGGTGAGTGAATTCATCCTATAAAAGTTCAAACGAATGGGTCCAGTAGCAAAAAACAGAGTAATGAAGATGGGCCATGTGAAAACCAATCTCAGCACTACGTTAGCTAACTGCTGTAGTGTCAGTAAAGAGTCGGTGTTGGGGGGTAATTTTCTTGTGGCAAATCTGAATTTGTGAGACGATGTGTGTGGACTGACTCTTGCGGGACTGTCGGGCAGATTTCTTATCCTACCCCTCAAGTTCATTTAAATTTCTCCCCATAACACGTCTTATTTGTTTCTGCCTGGGACAGACGGCATGACAAGTAACTTGTTAAGGTTTCTGCAGCTCTTTAAAGATGAAAAAATGTTCCCTTTATGCTAAATGTTACTGACAGTTCCTAAAGCTTTGTAACTGTCCCAGTGGCTGGGAGGGGAGAACTCTCCATACTGGAAAAGGACGGGCAAATGGTTATTTAAAACTAGCAGTGGGGACAAATTTATTTCAAATCAGTTCCTTATTGCAAAGTTATTTTCTAACAGAAGCAAGCCAGCTGCCTGGTGAGGTCAATAAATGCAGATGTAATAATCACAGGGCTGTTATTTGTCCCTCCTCGAAAGAACATCTACATTTTAGGACCTCTAGATTTTTGGGGGTTTTTTGGGGTTTGTTTTTTTTTTCTTTTGAATTACTAACAATGTTCACTTCTGGTCCAGCTGTGGGACCTTACTCATATCTGTGAGCAGTTATACACATGAATAATTCCCTCGACCTAAATAGAACTATTTGGTGAGCAATTACTCACCAGTTTGAATCAGGGGTTCCCAGTGTGACTGATAAATACATTGGCATGCTTTTGCTGGAATAATGGAATCTGATTTGCACTACTGGTGTTATAAGAAGATGCTTTAAGATTTTCCCGTTAAACACAAATGTCGAAGGAATAGATGTTTCAAGCTTACAAACTAAAAAGCAATTAGATTTAGCGAAGGGATACAATTAGGGGCTGCTGCTGATTAGTTACAAGCTCAGATCTCTACCTGAAGATGTCTCACATAGGTGTCCAGGGTTTGCGCAGCGCCTGGTTTGATCAGAGGCATGGACACAGATGGTTCCCCCTCCCAGAGCAGGATCCTTGTTACAGCCAGTCTTGTGTACAGCTCGCAGCTCGCAGCAGCAATACCCCAGGTAGCTACCTACGCGTGGCTGATCTCCGCAAAAGCCATCTGCCCCACCAGAGCAATCCCTCGTGTGCCATCAAGGCTTGTGATAGCATCTGTATGTTCGTGCGTGCTTGAGTTGCCAGGATTGCAATCGCTTTTGCCCAGGTGGGAGGGAAACGAGCCATCTCCTTGGGGTCTTGCACTGATGCCTGCGGTGACTGATTTGACAGGGAGTTCTCCTGGATTCGCCTTCGTTCCCCATTTCCCCTGGGGCCGACTGTGTCCCCTGCCTGGTTCTTCTGCTCTCCGATGCACTAGGAAGCGCTCAGGGTTGTTCTTGGACCTTGAAGGGAGTTGACTATCTATGCTGCAAAGCTTGCATGAAGCCACTGAGACATTTGTTTTTGCAACAAGTCTGGTGGATTATTTGTTTAACTGAAAGAAGAAGAAAAAAGACAACCTTCCCCCCCCCAATACTACCATTGTAATTAGAATTATAAATATGAGATAGATGTATTACAAATACTACAAATTCCTCTGCCTCTAATGTCCTGCTGAGTACGAGGCAAGAGTTGTCTGTATGAGTTTTAGAAAAGTTTTGCTACATGAGACTGCGCCACAGTCCCATGTTATTTGAGCAATCCACCTCCTGAGCATGGCTGGAAGCGGCCACATCAAAGAAAGACATAGAGACCCTGTGGCAGGCAGCTACAGGGTAACTTGCTGTGGCGAAGGATTTTTCCCTAACCCCATCAGCTGAACTTTCAGAGTCCTGAGAGCTTATAACTCTTCCAAAAACTCTTTAAAAATAAAACCCTTGCGACTGTAACCCTCCCATACATAACAGGTCCTTTTGCTGAGCCCAGCTAAACTTTTGCCCTCTGTGATATCTTGTTCCACTGGATCATTGTCAGTTGTGTAAACATGTGTTTCTTTTCATCAGCGTTAAATGTGCAGCCTCTCAGCTCCCCTGCCCTTCTCCACGTCCTGGTATCTCAGGATGGGGTGAGTAGCCATACCCAGATCACCCTT